AAGGCAAAAGAGAGAGAGAGAGAGAGAGAGAGAGAGAGAGAGAGAGAGATTGAAAAAGACTATGTCCACATGAGGCTTTGGGGGAATATCTAGATACAAATTTGATCTGCTCTACACACTTATTTATTTTGTGATACTGGGGATTGAACTCAGAACCCTGAGCTTGCCTCGCTTATTCTGAGCTATCTCCCCAACCCCCCTTTATGTATTTTTGAGACAGGGTCTTGCTATATAGTTCAGAGTGGCCTTGAACTTACTATACAGCCCAGGCTGGCCTTGAATTTGCAGTGATCCTCCTGCTTCAGCCCCCTAAGGCGCGCACCGCTGCATATGACCTTTCTTAGAGCCTCCTGCCTGCTGAGCAAGGCCAGTCAGACTTCTTGGAAACCAGGGGACTGCTGGGATGCAAGTCCACTGAGCAGGCTGTCCTGCTCCTCATGTTCCTGCACCGTGGCTTCCCTCTGTCCCTCAGAGTGCATGTACAGAACCTCTTGCAACCAACTGGGGAAGATGGCAGAGATCTTTAAAGAACAGCTGTGAGGACAGTCCAGTCAGGGCAGACTGGGAAACAGGAGCAGGCGGCTCATGACAAGAGATGCATGCAGGCCTCTCTCCTGACTCCGAGGTGCACACTGTACCCACTTCCTGGATATTCTGAACATCCTGGGGGGACCTAGGACCACCCCAACTAAAGTTCTTCACAGACCCTCCTGCACTGTCCCTAAGTGATTCACTCACCTTGCATTCTGAATTACAGGTTGATGGTGTCCAAATTGCTACCTAGAGGGTGCGTCTTTTCTGTGTCTAGACCTGGGCTTCTCTCAGCTTGTGGGGCTTCTCTGCTCAGCTGTCTCAGTAGCTTCAGACCTAACAGCCCTTCCATGCCAGCAAAGGGCCCTTGCACCCATTCTCCCCTCAGCTGCTCATCCTAGAATCCCTTTTTTTTTGGTGGAACCGGGGATTGAACTCAGGCCCTTATGATTGCCAGGCATGTGATTAGAAACTTGGATCCATGGGGGCCAGGGAGATAGCTCAGTAGACTAAGCGCTTTCCTGGCAAGCGCAAGGGCCTGAGTTCAATCTCCGATTCCACCAAAAAGAAATAAAAACGATGCTAAAAAAAAAAAAAAAAGAAAAGAAACTTGGATCCTATCCTGAACTCACACCCAGCTCAAAATCTAATGGACTGTACTTCCCTTATCATCTCTAATAAAACACTTTAATTTCCCCTCACCTCGCTCTCAATGTAAACATCAGCTCCTTGGGTGTCTTTCCTGCCTGTCCTCATGCCCCATGTTAGGTCATCCTTCTTTATGCTTCCCAGCATCCTATTTGTGTCCTATCATGGTGATATCCCCTCTCCAGGGGCAGGTGGAGATAGGGGGGCTAAAGTCCTGGGGCCCCAACCCTTGGGGTGGCCTATTCCCTTCCCACTCTGCTCACCGGCCTCAGGACTCTGTGGACTTCCTGCAGGACCTTCTTTATGCTCTGCACAGAGCACAGCACCAGAGTACAGACCACCGCGTCCATGGAGCCATCTGCCACTTGTTTCATGTCCTCTCCAGGAGCCACCACAAACCGCTCATACTGGAGATGCCTGTTCTCAGCCATGCTCTTTGTCAGGAACTTCTCAAAGTTGGGGTTTGGGTCTAGGCAGGTGATCCTGCAGTCAGGCGGGTAGAACTGGAAGTTGGCACCAGTGCCACAGCCGAGCTCTAGCAGGGCCACCTTCCCAGAGGTTCCCTTGAGCCCCTTTATCTGGCTGAAGAGTTCCCGTTTCTTGCTCTCCATCATGCGATTGGTCTTGGTGGTCAGCACAGCCATCAAGTAGGGGAAGTACTTTTTGCACAGGGGCTGCCATAAGCCCAGCAGAGCCAGCAGGTGCAGGGGCAGGGTCAGGAGCAGCACGAGCAGCTGCAGGAGTCGAACCAGGACGTCCATGGTGCCAGCTCCAGGTTATGCTACTGTGGGACTTTGCTCAACTTCTGCAGGCGCTTGTTTCCCCGCCTTCTGTGACAGGACTTTGCTCTTTTTCCTCTGTGTGTGATTTCCTTTCTATAGAGCAGAGTGAGTGTGTGAAATCCTCCTAGTGCACACTGATTGCACAGCCCCACAGGTGCAGGCTCTTCAACAGGTTTTATGTGGGGCAAAGGCACAGGGGATACCTTGCTTCTGCACTTGAGGGCCCTTAACCCAGCTGAACAAGGGCAGGTGTGCTGACTTCCCTCTGAGGGGAGCAGCAGGGGTGTAGTGTGGATGTCTCAGAGCTTCAGGGCACCAAATGCTGACTCACGGGGAGTGTCCTGACCTCACTGTGTCCTCTGGTCTGCTCAGATTATGTAAAGTGGAAATACTGGTTGGGTTCCCCTAGCACACCCCCTGGACTTTGTAAGCTGTGATGTGCCTTTGCTCTTGACTGAGGCCAAGCAGTGTTTAGGCTTAGGCTTGACTGGTTTTAAGCAGGAAGGCTATGAATCAAGAATAGGGCACTTACTGAGCTAACTGGTGTTCACTATCAAATCCAAGTCCTCAAACCCCCAGAAATAAAAGGAGCCAAAAAAGACAGAGTGAAAGAGTTAGTGGCTTGGGCTCTAGTCTCATCTTTGCCCCTACTTGTGTTCTTTTGGGCAAATATTTTTACTTTGTGGGCCTCAACCTCTCATTTACAAGGTGGGGGAATCAAGGAGAAGCTGGAGGCCTTACACAGTTCCCAAGGTCTTCCCAGGCTCCCATTCTTGTGTAATCCAAGGAGAGTAAAGTAATCTGCAGAAGTGGGTGGTTCTGGGTGTCTTCACGGCCCCTTGGGACCTGGGTTGCAGCCCAGGACAATGTCTCAAGGCTCCAGGACAGGCTGGTGATCACCAGAAGGGCAGGGAGTTCTCAGAGGCCAGACTTCTGGTTCATAGGCATCTTAGTGCAAAGCACCCAGGGTATTATGTGGCGGCTTCTCTTTTGGCTAAAGCCATCTCGAGGTCTGGGGAGTTGTGCCTCAGGCTGTCTGAATGCTGCTGAAGAAATGGGTAGTGGCCAGAGGGAAACAATTTAAAAATAAGTCAGCTAAATGTGATGGCACATGCCTGTAATCCCAGCACTTGGGAGGCTGAGGAAGGAGAGGCTCTTTGTGAGTTCAAGACCAGCCTCGGCTACAAAATGAGCCCAAGGTCAGCCTAAACTATGTAGAAAGACCCTTTCTCAAAAAGATTTAAAAAAAGAAAAAAGACAAAGATATGTTTCCCCTGGCAAGCACAAGGGACTGAGTTCAATCCCCGGTTCTGAAAAAAAGAAAAAAGAAAAGAAAGATTTATAACCCAAGAAACTGTGAAATGTCCAGGGCAAAGGGCTAGAACTATTTTTAAAAAGAAAGCAATAAACAAATAAAATAGAAAACATAGTTACTGCCAAATCCACTGTTTTTAGATGATAAAGAGTTTTGGTGAATAAGTTTGATGGCGATCTTTTCAACTGTTTACTTCATGCCATCATAAAATGTTACACAGGGAAACATAATCAAGGGCTGGGAGATAGCTTGTTGGTCCGAGTG